TTCCTTAATTTTGTTGCTAAGGAATCCAATTTTGACTGACAAAGGGTATAAATAGCGGGACCTTTCAATTAGAGTCGGCTCCTAGCGATAAATGCGAGAATGACTACAGTACAAAAATCGAATACTTTATCATTTCTCAATAGTGATGGAGTAATACGACATGCACTAAACTAAGGACACAGGATATACTACAATAGATCAAATTACTGGTCGCAGTGGTGTTAGGTCCCGAACAGAGAAAAAAAAAGGTGCTGGCGGAAGACTCATCTGTGCTTGTTCATGATGGTAGCGGTTAATGGAATGCCACATGGAAGGATGATCTTTCCACTTCAACCCTACAACACCCATAAGGGAACCTTTAAAGTAAACCGTCATATTTGGGAGGTTGTTAAGACCACTAAAAACAAATAAAAAACATAGCTTTCATTGTTGGAACCGCCGGCGTTGGTGGTGTACTGGTAAGCGTAACTGATTTCTCACCCCAATAGGTCTGGGTTCAATCCCAGCCGAGGTCGGTGGGATTTTTTTGAGGCATAACAATCTCTGGTCATGTCTTTATTCGGAAGGGAAGTAAACCCGTTGGTCTTGGCCCATGTGTGTTTTGAATGGGTGCGGTATCCTAGAAGCTGCCTTCCTGCACATTTGATTGCCTTCAATGGATGGCAATCGATGTCCGTCGGTGATTGGCACTAGATTGCGAAACAAAGACCGACGTTTAATAAAGGAATGAATGAAATTGTTGGAACCGACCACGTATTTCATGTAAATTTAAACGCAATATTCCTCTAAAAAAGAAAACTTGTAGATAATTTCGTTGTTTATGTCAATTATAGCTCAAATAACTCACAGCAAAATAAATAACTCACGAACTGAGTCACATTTACTCACTTTTTTTACATGCTAAACTATGGCCCATCTTGTTTTCCGTGCTGTGCACTAATGCTACCGACGCCAGGGAGGCAACTCTTACACCTGGACCCTACCTATAAACCCATCAACTCATGAATCGGGGACCATTGGCTTTACTTCCATTCCGAAGTAAGGCGTGATCAGAGATGTTATGCCTCAGAACATCCCGGCAGCGCCGACTGGGATTGAACCCAGGCCCGCTGGGGTGAGAGGTAATCACGCTTACCACTACACCACCGGCACCGCTCAACACTTTTCCTTATTATAGCGCTCCTAGTGGACGTTTTTGGAAGCTTTTGACGTATATTTGTTGACAATAACAACAACAAAAACAGTGTATTTGTTCAGTTCATTAAACGCTCTTGTTTTGGAGACAGTCACCATGTAAGAGGAGTGAAGAAAAAAAAAAAATTGTGCGCAGTCACCTGTAAAATCCATAGTGGTCTTCGTGCAAGCTGGCTATAGTGTTAAATTTGGCTAGAAACACCGTATGACACGTGCTCAAAACGTACAGGGAAACCTTGAAGGCGAAACGGAAGCCTCAGAGTAAACGCAGGAGTGGAGCTGCTAACCTTCAGCTCCTTGGGAAGGTCGTGAGGTCCATCAGAAGCAACCCAGGAATGTACGATCGCGATTTAAGTAAAAAGCCATGAATTCGAGAAGGTTTACAGGCATACCACACCAGTAGACAACCATATCGATCTCTCAAGCAAAATACCGTAGCTAGAAGTCGTGCTCAAAAGCTGTATGACAACCTGCTAACCAAGTCCGGTGGGTGCATACTTATGGATGATTGAACCTATGTAAAGGCCGACTTCGGACAGCTTCCAGGATCATAATTTTACAAGGCACGAGGAGGTGTCCCTGGCAGATTCAAATTTGATTTTGCGGATAAATTCGCACACAAATATATGGTCTGGAAGGGAACTTGCATCTGCGGCCAGAAGACAAAGGTTTCCGTCACTGAGAAAATTAAGAACTCGGAGGTTTACAAAACCGAATGTCTCTCGAAGCGAATTCTTCCCTTCATCCAGTCACATGATGGTCCAATGAAATTTTGGCCAGATCTTGCGACGAATAATTCGTTTCGTATTGAAGTAATGAAAATGGGTTGTTAGCGGAATGCTTTAATAAAACAGCAAAAAAGGTTATCTTCCATTTAATTCCACTTAATTATTTTGGTATCCATGACAGATACGTATTTCGACTACAATGTGCAGTCTTCATCAGTATCATTCCCACTAAAGAACTTATCAAAATCTAACCCCCTTAAGTACTCATCCCCTAGGTATAAAAGTCAAGATCACAGGTATATAAATGAAACTACAATGTGTTGAATCGGAACCTACCTAACTAATTAAAACCAAAGATTTAAGTAAGCTAAAGGAGAAAAATCTATTCAACTCTCTCATAAGGAAAATCCCAAAGGCTTGGTAGCCATCATAATGAAGTAATGAAAATGGGTTGTTAGCGGAATGCTTTAATAAAACAGCAAAAAAGGTTATCTTCCATTTAATTCCACTTAATTATTTTGGTATCCATGACAGATACGTATTTCGACTACAATGTGCAGTCTTCATCAGTGTCATTCCCACTAAAGAACTTATCAAAATCTAACCCCCTTAAGTACTCATCCCCTAGGTATAAAAGTCAAGATCACAGGTATATAAATGAAACTACAATGTGTTGAATCGGAACCTACCAAAGATTTAAGTAAGCTAAAGGAGAAAAATCTATTCAACTCTCTAATAAGGAAAATCCCAAAGGCTTGGTAGCCATCATAATGAAGTAATGAAAATAGGTTGTTAGCGGAATGCTTTAATAAAACAGCAAAAAAGGTTATCTTCCATTTAATTCCACTTAATTATTTTGGTATCCATGACAGATACGTATTTCGACTACAATGTGCAGTCTTCATCAGTGTCATTCCCACTAAAGAACTTATCAAAATCTAACCCCCTTAAGTACTCATCCCCTAGGTATAAAAGTCAAGATCACAGGTATATAAATGAAACTACAATGTGTTGAATCGGAACCTACCTAACTAATTAAAACCAAAGATTTAAGTAAGCTAAAGGAGAAAAATCTATTCAACTCTCTAATAAGGAAAATCCCAAAGTGATTTTTTCTTGAGTGATTTTTGACTTGAGTGATTTTTTTCCAGGAGGTTATACCATAGTGGTCTAAGACTAGAAGGTCCCGAAGAAACGTGCTCAACTTTTTGGCTCAGCTCTGGTACTATCTTCGGTCCCAAGCTAATCGATTCACCCCTCGAAACATAGGAAAATCCACGAACCCCTCATTTTATTTGTCAAACTTTCATAGTGAATCAAAACAAACATAGTGTAGTACTAGAATTTTGACTAGAATGGGGTACGTTAATCGATTTGCTTGGGCCTATAGGCTAGTCAAGTAGTGAGCCAATTTAAAATCGTTAGTTTCCACCGGTTGGTTATACTTAGCATGCTGAGAGACGAACCAGCCCAAGGCTGAAAGTCTCTTGAATAAAGAAAAAAAAAAAAATAACAGCATGCTAAAAAAGTGAGTAAATGTGACTCAGTCCATGAATTATTTGTTCTGTCCGTGATGGTAATTTTTTTCTGTGTGACAATGGGCGCAAGAGGATTAAACCAAGTAGCCCCAGTTTTATGCTTTCGTAGTTCTTTGCATTCCATTCTGGCGTGAAAATCCGCAAAATTATGGACTGAATGCATTTCCCTCTAGGTGCTTTCAGAAAGAGTGATTGCAAATTCCTTCTTACACTAAAATGAAAAATGTAACATTTTCGTACAGTTCTCCGCATATAACTAAATAGACTGTAATAAGGCCACCGGTTCATATTTAAATCAATTATACAATTTTAAGGATAGCTGAATTTCCCAATTTGGCAATGGAAAAATTGTTTTCTACCAATACATTTCCATCAAAACTTCTCGAATGAACAATACAGTGAGAATGAAAGCAATTCATACTTCTTGCCATCATTTGATTTGCGAGTAGGCGTCGGGTTGAAGTCCAGTTCCAAAGATCCAAAGCTATAGAATTTAAAAAAATCAAGACCAACAATTGAAATGGCCTTAACTCCATTTTGTAAACAAACCTTGTAAGGCAATTTTCTCGCGAACCGAAACCTTCATTCGCAAACCTAAACCACAATCGGATAGAGGAGAATTTCCCCTACCTGTTCATTTTGTTGGTTTGCCTTTGCGGACTTTGGTTCGCGAGAAAATGGCCTTACAAGGTTTGTTTACAAAATGGAGTTAAGGCCATTTCAATTGTTGGTCTTGAAATGTCTTCATTCAATTGATTGGCAATGCAAGATGCCATCTCGCATCTCAAATCTTTCAATCTTAACATTCTTCGGAGTACACATGTTGCTCCGTATTCAAACATGGCAAACATTTACGTTGCTAATTTGTGAGTGTAAACAGCTCAGGCTGGAAGTTGCAGGCCGAAGGGTCTAATGGGTTCTGCAAACGACGATGATGAGTGGGTCTGACATAGTTGGGTCGAACCTGATGTGCAATATTGTTCTCGCAAAAAATTACGACGCCTTTTTTTCCGATAGTAACCTACACAAGGCTCGTCCATCGTTGCTTTTTCCATGGCAAAGGAAGCGAGCAGCCCAAAGTAATTTCATGCTACCGTGAAGTGGAGTGAGTCCCTTCGGAAAAGAGGTGTTTAATGTGATCTTTCATGGTAGAGTGGTTGAAAGCTGACGGAATAGGAAATGGGTTTTGTATTCAGAGGACGGTAACCTTTATAATTAGAAAAGGACCGTGAGGGCTAAGGAGTAGCAGTAGGTAATTAAAAGCGTTTAGCAATTATTGAGATTAGGCCCTGCAGAGGGGTTCCCTTTTGTGCTCAATATGCTTGGGTCCCATGTTTTCGTTGAGTGGTCGAGGAAGGGGAGGCTTATTATCATCTAATTATCGGGATCAAACGAGAAAGTTGAAGGAGATTGAATGGAAGCGATTTCAATCTGATGGTCATTAGCCATTAGACATTTGTTTGAAATGGTTCATTTTATTCGTTTCTCACTTCGGTTCAGTAGCTAATTTCAAACAATTTTATTTTATTCTTCCCAACAGATTGGTGTGGTGATGTACCTGTTATACCGTTTGCTGGGCGTCAGCACCATTATAGGATCGTTTGTTTGCATCATCACCATGACTCCCCTTCAATTTGCCATTGGAAAACTGATGTCAGCCAACTCGAAAAAGACCTCGGTAAGTGAGGGCTTCCGTATTAAGAAAAATCATTACCGTGTCAAGAAAATCTCTACACAAGCATGAAAAGATCCATTTAATAACACAAATGTAGGACATTCCTTTTAGATCGCCTATTCATTGAATGGTACTCTAGGTATTCCAGTTTACTGTTTTGCTCAATCTTTTTGTTAACATGCTCTTCCGGTAGGACGCATTAATCAATTCCATTTCCATTGCGATTGACCCTTACTGCACTATTGCAGGAATGCACTGACGAACGGCTTCGACGAATCAACGAAGTGTTGCTGGGAATAAAATTAATTAAACTCAGCGCCTGGGAAGGGGTTTTCCGAGAGAAGATTGCACACGCCCGTCGGAAGGAGCTCAAGCATCTGGATCGGGACTCGTGCTATTGGACGATGATGAGTGAGTATATTTTTTTTTAACGGATCGATGCTGGATGAGTATTTTCAACTTTCTTCGGAGACGGAGTTAGAAAATGTAGAGTTTTAGAAAAAAAAGGAATTAATTTTCAAAACACGGATTTGATTGTCTAGTAGGCGAAACTTTTACAAGGGTTCTTAAAGTTTGAATGACTCAGGCATCTTTTTTTTATGTCTTGAATACATGTTGCTGATGAATTTCTCTTGCAGGAACTGATAACACATTAATATCTTAATGGCGTATGATACCTTATTTTGGTATGCTTGTGGTATAAAACCTTTATTTGATATTATTCAGTTATTCAAATATTTGGTCGAATATCAAATAAGTAACAAATCGTGATCTTTAATTTTTAAGACAACAACACCTAAAAGAGTTATTGGATAAGACATTATAAATAACAAACTATGGTATTCTGGCATCAACAGAAGCGTCTGTTATCCGTCAGCTAATGTCATAACTAAATTATTTATTAGTTCGTTATTCGTAGAACATTATTTTTTTTGTATTATGTTTGGTAATTTACCACTTTTGTCAGACTCATCAATACCATATTTACCTCTCGGTGTGCATCACGCTATCAACTGTATGTATGGTCGATAGATGCTACCGTTTCGATGCGTTTTATTCTCTGCATGCTGCTCGATTGTTGACTTTTGTCACTTCTATCGACGATTTCTCGTAATCAACAACTCAATCATACAAATCAACATTGTAAACAGATGGGTGATTAATTAAACTATAAAGCTGGGTAAGGGTTGAATCACACGCCCGTCAAAATGCCTTAAAAAGCTCAAAATTTATATTATTGTTAAGCTTTCAGCTAATTTGGCTTTTGTTAAAGTCTAGAATAAAGTTATATCCTAACATGTCACCCTTCATCGTCATCCTCATTCTCCTTTATAATCATTTATACATTTCCACATTTTACTAACACCAATAACCCTGTTGGAGCGGAGTTTATATAATGGACATTTCTGTAGAAGCTAATAAACCTTGGTTTTGATTATTATTGTTAATGATAACTCTATCAATCATAACACTCGTATTCAATGGCCATCCTAAACACTTTGCAGGTATCATCGAATCGCACTTCTTACACCTTTGCTCAGTTTATGCAATATTTTATTTATGACAAAGAACTATTACAACAATTTGATTATATCTTTCACCGGACTGGTTAAGTTCTACTGCTAATTTTCGGACATTTAACGAAATTGATGCATTTTAAGGCGTTAACTTCTCGAACTCTTCCAAACGAACGAAACAACAGTTAAATAAAATGTTTTCATACTATAAAGCTACAGGCACGCCAAAATATAAATATTGTTTTGCATTCCAATTTTTATTCTATGGATATCACAGTGCCAAAACCAAAGATACTTACTTTTGCATCCTGCACAACCCTTGTGGTGCATAGGGCCAACGAGAAAGATTACCATCCTAGGCGGTTGCTCGTTTTTGACTTGACCTGGTCCTAGGTTAGATTCCTGTCGTTTTATTTAGCTTACAGGAAGCTTTATTTCCTTGTTCAGGCTCCACCGTCATGAGCTCCAGGGTCTGCCTCTGCTGCGATGTCCTGCCGGGCTCAAATCCAACGCTTGTTTGCAGATTTCATTTCCGTCCCTTCGTAGTGTGCGGCTGACCCATCTCCACGTACGGTCTCGAATTTCTGTTGATATCGCCTTCTGATGACATCGACCATGCAGCTCAGCATTCAAGATCCAGCTGTGAGGCACGAATTATATTGCTCAGGCATTGGTTGATGAATACTTGCAGCTTTTGAGTGTTCTCCACTGATACTCACAGACAGATTTCACGTTTGAATTGAAAATTCGTGTTTTGGTACGTTGACTTAGGGGAAATGGATGTAATGTCGGTCTAAATGCCCCTAATTTGGGCCCATACATAAATTCAGCAATCGGCTAAATTTTCAATTTAAATTTCAAATTGATAAATAGCAGATTTTTAGCGATGGGTCCAATCTTAGATCTATAGGCGAACATTAGAGCCATTTCCCCTGTCTGTTTAGATTGTCATACATTTCGTAAACACGCAAAACCAGTCCAAGCCTTCTTGATTCGTGCTCCTATATCGCTGTTGGTCCCACAGTCTGATGCTATCTGGCTGCCAAAATATTGGAAATTTTAGACATTCTCCACTGCTTGCCCGCTACCGTAAAGGTTGAAGGGTTGTCTGTGTTGACGTTGATGGTGAGACCCGCTGCAGAGGAGCGTTCGGCTAGGTCGTTGAGCTTTTTTTTTACCTTCTCTGTTCGGGTCACAATCACTGTAACCAATATAGTAATCTTTTGTGATATGTTCGTGTCGTTTGTTTAGTGCATGTTGTAGTACCTCATTACTATGGAAAAGTAATGAGGTATTCGTTTCGATACAGTTAAACCATACATACTTGATCTTCTCACAAGAAACCTCATTCAATTGTGATGTTCTGCATCGTTCGAAGCGTTCTGAGACCTTTCCAACGATGCGCCTTCTCATCAATCCAAATAGTTTCATGAGAATCCTATTTCAATTGAGATTTTCCGTATCACTTTAAAAGTTCTGGGACCTCTCCAAAGATGCGAACTCTCATAAATCAAAATAGGTATCACATGAATCCTTATTCAATTCAGATGTTCCGTTTCTTTGTAAAATTGTGGGATCTCTTCAAATATACGCCTTCTCAGCAAGCAAAATAGGTCTTCTTAAAGAGAAAAACAAGCTTGATGATATTGACATTTGACCACGTATCGGAACCCTGATCCGAACATTTTCTTGTTTCCAATCTCGAGGTTCATAGCAGTCAACAAGAAAAGCTTAGGGTCAAATTTCGATGTGGTAGATCTTACATCCCGTAACGTACCACGTAAAGCTGATCTACCCACGTTACGGGTCGTTGAGCTTTCTCTGCATATCAGAGTGCCGTTTTTCTAATAGCGCAACATCATCAGTCGAATCGAAGTCGTTGAGGTGCTTTTTGTGATAGGCTTCCAAAGCAGCCCGTGGTTCAGTGCACGGCCAATTGCACCTACAATGATCTCATCCATTACGATGAGGAACAGTAGTGATGATAGTATACATCCTTGCCTCACATGTGTGACTACCAGGATAGGGTCGGACAAGGCTCCGTTATGACCCTACACGTGAAAGCCTCGTACTGCGCTTTGATGAGTTTAACGATTTTATCTGGAACTCCTTTGCGTCTGAGGGCGTCCCACAGATATTCGTGATTGAGTCAATCGAAAGCTTTTTCGTAGTCAATGAATACCACATAGAGGGACTCTTGGAATTTGTTGACCTGGTTCAGGATTATGCGGAGCGTGAGAATATGGTCCGCACAAGATCTTCCGGCACGGAATCCTGCCTGCTGCCGCCGAAGAGTCGCGGCGGTCTTGTCCTGCATCCGATTTAGGATAACTTTGGACAGAACTTTGCACTTACACACAGTAACATAACGCCTCGCCAGTTGTCAGTTCCAGAGAGACCAAAGAAACCATTTCAACTTTACTGCTTTACTAGTATAATTGAAAAAGCGTTGCCAGACGTATTGCTTCTTGCAATGAATTTAAGTTTAAACTTAAGTTTAACAAAATTTTCAAGTAAGCATGGATGAGTGGATGTATATTATGGCAATTAAATATAAGAAACTGAATAAATAAATAAAAATCAACCATTTTAGGCATTTTACCGTTCCAATTAAAAAAGTCACAGAAGATTGAATTAAACACTAATAGGAAAGATGGCAGCAGTGTACGTAACCTACACTGAAAAAAGTTTTCACTTAGGTTCTATTAGGAACGCACATAATATTTTTCCAATAACAAAAATAATGATTGTTATCTGAATATCACATAGCATAAGAACTTCTATATGAGAAATCATATAGATTTCATTGGACACATAACGTTCATGTGATTTACTGGCGTAATTTCCAATTATAGGATCACATATTTTCCACTGGTTATGTGATTTATTTTATGAGTGTATCATTCGCTTTCCCTCTCAACTCTGCTTCCATCCTCTTTACTACGCTGGAGTGGGTGTCCGTACCTTAATCCTATGGCTTATAGATATAACCTTATATTTTGGGCATTTCTTCAATCCGATGAATTTGTTTGGCTCCGACGGCTTGGTTGGCATGATGAATCCTGATTAATGTGGGCGTCTTAGTGGAATATCTATATAAAGAGAGAGAAGGATTAGTAGTTTCCATTTAATTATACTACCTTATTTGCTTATCCTTGACCGATACGCCTATTTCGTCTACAATGTGCAGACTTCTTCAGCGTCTAGTACTAATACTCGACTGAAGAAAAACATTGCATTTTACCGAATATATATTAACACAGGTACATTTTCACTTAAAAGCTAGGTAAACTTAAATTTAATTTCCTGTAGGAGCAGGTACTCCTCTGCTTACTCATTGATGTGACCTAGGTAGTAACTTGAAAAGCCATGTCCGGAGTGATTTGAGATTTGGGCGTAATTGCATTTGTAAACAAACACGTCAATCACCGATTTCTCGCGAATAAAAGCTTAATCTCGAAAACTAATAACTAATAAGTAATAATAAACTAATAATATAGGAGTTATTCCTCTATCATTTGGTATAGTTTGTTTATGAGATTGAGCTTTAATTCAAGAGACATCGGCAATTGACGTCTTTGTTTACAAAAGCAATTTCGCCCAAATCTCAAATCACTCCGGTTGTGTGTCCGTTTCCTTGATTCCTGTTGAGTAAAGTTGAATTCCGTTGTTTGTTGATTTCGAGGCTCTCTGCAACATCCAGTTTCGATGGTGTAGATACGTTTCGTAAAATCGTGATGTCCTTCGTCGATAGTTGTTGGTCCTCTGTGAAGATTAAATCTAGTTGCTAAAGGTCTCTTGGTTTGTTCTACGTTTACTTTGTTACAATTATTACAGTTTATTTTATCAACACCTGCTTTACCTAAAACATTAACTGGGTCTTAAGTGGATCCTAACAATGATTTCAACTGGTTATGTATCTGGTGAAAACTAAATCTAATCAGAATTGTTTTAACTGTGGTCTTAGCTTACAAGTAATATCTTGATCAAATGGAACGGACACTCGTTTCAAGGGTTCAGATGCTGCGGTGAGGGTTGTAAATAATATCCTCTGTAGAATTCTCGCTTTTTTATCGATGATTGCCTGGATTGTGGTCTCCTTGTATCCGTTGAGTCTCGCTGTTTCGAAGATGTACTGTAATTCCTTAAACTTCCCTGTATCGCTGGGTGGAAGAGTCTGCATCCTGTGTCTGCAGAGCTGAGCCAAAAAGTTGAGCACGTTTCTTCGGGACCTTCTGGTTACCTCTATGCTACTAGCATAGAGGTAACTCTAAGACCAGAAGGTCCCGAAGAAACGAGCTCAATTTTTGGCTCAGCTCTGGTACTATCTTCGGTCCCAAGCTAATCGATGTACCCCTCGAAATGTAGGAAAATCCACAAGCCCCTCATTTTATCTGTCAAACTTTCATAGCGAATCAAAACAGACATAGTGTAGTACAGGAATTTCCACTAGAATGGGATACGTTACTCGATTTGCATGTGACCAATAGGCTAGTCAAATAGTGAGCCAATTTAGTTTTGTTAGTTTCGAATTGAATGTTGCTACTAGTGAGTATATGAGAAATTCTCAAATTTGAGTAAATAGAACTGAATTTTGGGACACAAATACTCACGAGTAAGTAATTATTAATGCCGTAGTCAAATGTAAACTACTAAAAGCGATTTACTGAAAATTACCTTATTCAACGGAACATAGTCCTCTCCAGGCGGGTTCGTATTGGTGCGATTTGCGTGGGGAGTAGGCTGTCAAATACGAACAATCGTCGCCTACCTCGGATAACTGGTTCCAAACGTAAACAAGCCATAAGAAACCTACAGCGTTTGTTTACGTTTGGAACCAGTTTCATACAAGATGATCAGTAGGCTGATTTGACAGCACGTCCCCCCCAGGGTATTACATCAAGAGCAAATTTTCAAAGTGTCAATCGATGCTCCTGCTATTACACTAAACACTATATACTGTTCGAATATAGGATCACATCCCATTTTTAAATTTATTTACCAGTCGAATTGCTTTTTGACGTAACCACCTTCCGATCAAAATAGTTTTCGATGTTACTTAAGTCATCCGATTTCTATGGAGATGCCGTTTGCCTTAAGTAACAGCACTGAGAAACCCGTGGAAGACGACCATTTTCTGCTGGAACGAATGGTTGGAAGTATAGGGGATAACTTTTTTTGGTGCTTGTTGGTTTCCTGTAAATTTCGTCTTCAAGCGAAGAAGATGATGACGATTCCCTGATGACTAGAAGATCGAGAAATGCGAGTTTCTCGTCTTTTTCTACCTCGTGAGTGAATTTGATATCCTTGTGAATTCTGTTGATCTCATCTAAAATTTGTGGATGGGCTTCCTTTTTTAACTACGCTGAAGATATCGTCAACAAACCTCCACCAACGGTTTGGTAATAGTCCTTTCTCCTTCAGAATTGTCTCCAAGTTGGACATGAAAAGTTCACACAGGAAGGGGGATAGAGGGTTTCCCATTGGGGCTCCTTTCATCTGCTTGTAGAAGTTACCTCGGAAAGAGAAGTAGTTCTCTTCCATACAAAGGCGGGTCAGCTTAAGGTACGTCCGAACCTTGTTTCTCCATGCTGCATCCTCTCGTTGTGTTAATAGCCAGTCCTCCAAATGGTTGATCGCTTCATTGACCGTACGCTGGGAAAAAGAGCTGTGACGTCGAAAGATACCATAATCTCGTGCTCGTTGACGTCTACTGTAGATTGTAGTTGCTGGGCAAACTCCTGGGTGTTACTAACTGCTTTACTCTGGAACTGATTCGTCATACTCTGGAACTCTGTGACTAGCTACTTCGCTATCGGCGTTTCCATCATTGCTCATAGACGAATAAAACATAAAATTCTTTCTTCATTGGAAAACAAAGTTTTTGAAACTTTGGGAGTTTCTGTCGAAGCTTAATTTGGACAACTTACGTTTATATCTGAATATTTGCCATTCCAATGCGTAGGCCAGAAAAAGAATTTTCTCAAGGTTGACCTTCAGAAACTTACCGTCATAGGTCTAAATTCTTCATTATTGGTGATTTTAATGCAAAACACCGCTCATGGAATAATGCTCAATGCAATTCCAATGGTAATATTCTGTTTGATGATTGTTCTGCAGGTTATTGCCCTATTCAATATCCAAACAGCCCAACATGCTTTTCTTCACCAAATGATTTGGTCTTAACTGATTCATGTCAACTTTGTAGCCAATTGGTTACCCATGCTGACTTCGGTTCTGATCACCTTCCAGTAACTTTTGAAATATCCCAAGAAATAATTTCTAATCCCAACAGTTCTACTTTCAATTACCACACACTAATCGAGTCAGTACGGTTTTACCGAGTTTTTGAATTGCGGAACTGTTCGGTAAAAGTTTAAAAATCTGTGGAAAATTTATTAATGAGAACATTTGTTCTGAACTTGTACATAATTAGTTCTGTTAACCCCATTTAATGATAGAAAATAAAATTGATCGATTTCATTGATTCCTTACGGATAACGGTCATTTGAATTTTTACCGACTTTTTCAGCAATTCAAAAACCCAGTAAAAAAATACTGACTCCTGTAAAAAAATCTTAGTGTGCATACAGATGATTGGGAGCAATATCGAACATTTATGGAATATTGCTTGGGTCCAAACATTCCTTTGCAAACCACATATAAAATTAATTATGCTCTTGAATCTCTGACTACTTCTATAATTGAAGCAAGAGTTGCCTCAGTACCAAAATGCGAGGTTAAATTCGATTCAATTATAATAGACGACGATCTTCAGTTCTTGATCCGTCTGAAAAATGTCCGTAGGAGACAATATCAAAGAAAACGCGATCCTGCCATGAAAGTTATCTGGCGGGATTTGCAAAAACAAATAAAAAAGCGATTCTCTTCCCTGAGAAACAACACTTTTGAAAATAATGTTAAATAATTAGACCCGAGTTCCAAACCCTTTTGGAAACGCATATTTTTTTAGAAAAAACCTCAAAAGCTTATTCCAGCGTTAAAGAAGGTGGTAAAAGTTTGTTTTCTCAAATACATTGGGTCTAGAAAATCATCTCGAGAAGTTTTTTACAAAAATATACATAAATCCAACCTTACCTTAAATGTAAGAGAAATTTGTTTTTCGTGTCCAGCTGGTAGCTACACACTTAGAAATAACTACTGTTCCACGAGATGTAATCTATACTGGACATAAATCATGTAACGTAAACAAACATTTCAAGTAAAAATTTATTGATAAACCAACACGAATATTCACATTGCTAAAGCTCCGTTGGAGTGGATTTCAATCAGCACTGAACTTTTTTTTTTCATCAAAAGTTTGGCGCGATTGTGCTCCGCTTGTGTGCTCGATCGCTTGAAGATTCCCACAATGAGCAAGCAAATAGCTAGCTTGGCTTCAATGCCAGCGTTGCCGCCGAATGCAAGCAATGAGGCAAGAAGTTTACTTCGTGTCGTAAAGGGTCGTGCAAAATAAGACGAATGATAAATATTTCCAATAAACCGTACCGACAACGACAGTGACGACGACAGCAACGACGACGTCATCCAGTTAAATCCTTTACCAATCAACACAATGTGCTGTAGCCCGCCTTGGCACGGTTTCATCGTTTGCAGCCCGCAAACAAGCGACTGATTCTTGTGGAGGACAATTTCCCAGCAAGATGCGAATGCTGTACTCGGGTACCCTGCCAGAGCTTATGTGCGTGCAGCGATGAGGTCACGTAGTATCTGACTTGGAGTGCCGACGGAACCGATGAGGAGATAGCTGTAATTACAGCTTTGTCTGGTGTGGGAGGGCTGAGGGAGGGCGATATAATAGCCGAAAAAGGAAACGCCTGATTAATGGCAATCGATTTTTCGTGACTAAATCCATGGGCTGAAGAATGTTTGTACAAAGGATAATGTGATTGAATTGGATGATTAACTGACGTAGCGATTGAATCGGATTATCAGGTATTAGATTAGGGAATCAAGTAGAATGGCATTACATTATAGGCAATTTAATCACCGTCTCCGGTAAAGTTTATCCATGTTTAAGTACCGTTTTGGATCAATGTAGCTTGTTGTAGCCCCCCACATAAATATCCAATGTCTAATTAAAAAGTTGCTCGCGATAGAAAGCCGATAACTCCTCATGTTCTCACATTTTCTTCTCTTCCTCCGGATTCAAATTTAGTGCTGCTCACGCATATATCCTCGGTGTTGATAACTTTCGTGACGGTGGCCGTTTTCATCCACTTGGAGGCACCCCGGGAGGACGGCGAGCCTCAGGACGGAAGGATCGAATTTACCGCTGCCCGTTTGTTTGCATCGTTGGCACTGTTTAATCAACTGACGGTGCCACTGTTTATCTTTCCAATCACGATTCCGATTATCCTGTCGGCGGTGGTAAGCACTAGCCGACTAGAGGCGTTCCTTCGCAGGCCGGAAGTCCGAACGGTCGTGAATCGCCGGCGCTCAGCGGAGGATTTTCGTAGAAGAATCAGCAGATCACGGGGGTCGGGCAAAAGTGGCGCATCGTTGGACACGTCTACCGTGAGCCGTGCCCAGGAGGATAATGATGATAGATACCTACAGGAGGAGGAGATGGAAGAGGATGATACCAAATGGGAGCAGGAAGGTGCGATGCATTTTGAGTGCTTCGATTTGCCAGAATGCGGTAAGTGTGTTTGCCGACGATTTAGGGAGGTAATATTTGGGAATGCAAACAAGAAGTGCAATTAGTTGCACAACGTAGGGGAAATGGCTCCAATGTTGACCTATGGATCTAAATATTGGGCCCATTGTTAAATATCTTCTGTTCTTATTTTTTTTCTTATAAAAATTCGCCATCTGAGAAATACAAATGGATATTTTTAGATGCTAGAGTGAGAAATTGTAAAAATTGCTCTCTTTCGAAATTTATGTATGGGTCGATGAGTCATATTTAGGAACACTTAGGCCAACCCTATATAATGGAAAACGATGAAGCATCTTAACCATGTTTTTATATTGAAAGGGAATGAATGGAGAGCCCGGTCATCTATGAGACTCCAGGCACTATCTATTTCTCAAGTTTCTTTGTTCACCAACTATCTGTATTCTCCTTCCCTAAAACTAGAAACCAAACCAGACGACTGCCCGTTGGAAGGTGCGAAGGCAGCTGACAACGTATGTTCCGAATCATCCGAATGGGAAAGTGAAATCGAGCAAGATGAGCAATTTCGGAAGCCAGAAATAACTAGCACTGCTACCGGATCCGCTGGTAGTGCATGCTCCCCTGGTCTACCTTCAAAGGAAAACGCCTACGTCAACGGAAGCGGTTCAAATCAGCCGGAGCTGATGACCGACGACGATTTGAGAAAGAACCGCAAACCAAATCACCAAATGAAGCGGCTGCGAAGGAACAGTCAATTGACTGCGTGTACTCTATTGGGAAGAAGCCGCCTTCGACAGAAATTGAGAGATGGTAGGGTGGCTGCTAATGACGCGAGATTCGGAATGTCATCCCGAAAGGTTGGCAGTGATGATGAAGAAGATGACGGCGATGCTGCTGCTGATGATGATGATGATGCTGTTACCGTCATAGGTGGTCGTTTTCAGTGGGGTTGCTCCAGTCAGGATGCAGGTTCTGAGAATTATGAAACAGCCCTACGGATCGATCGACTCAGTGTTCCAAAAGGTATGTATAACTTTCTGTGAAACGCTCAATCTAAGCTGTTTTAAGCAAGTTCTTAAGAATCGTGTACTGATTTTGTTTCCATTTCTATCCGTTTATGTTCGTTGTGTGCCAAACGACTATCACGTACGAACGACTGAATGAAAAACTGCCAACATACATCGTCCTGGAAATCGTCTCTCACATTGGATCCCATCAGGAAAGCTCACCATTATCGTAGGCCGCAGTGGCAGTGGTAAATCATCATTACTGGCGGCTTTATTGAAGGAAATAAATCATCTGTCCGGTGAAGTGATTTGGAACAAGTGAGTATAGCAAGCAACCAACATCTGCAATGTAATATTTAGGAACCTGTTCTCAGTTGGGATGTTGGGAATGTTGTTATGATGGTTCTCTTCTTGATTGCTGTGATATGGTTTATGTCTGTCGGTGGATTACTGTTGAGCTAGAATAGACATAAATATTTTGCTTTTCGTGACTTGTCTGGGATTCGTTTTGATTTGTTTTATCTATGGAGTGAGAAGCACCGGCAAGGTATTTGCCGTGGATGATGAACTTGTATGAGCTCGATTCTCCGTAAGTCCTGTACTCTAGTTTTAATGATGTTTCTAAAAGTTTTGCAAATACAGTGATGCATAAGCAAAAATAAAAAGCTGAAACTACTCTTTGATTATAGTTTTCATGAGCTGTGTTGATTTAGGGCGGGCGGTGAACGCACATGCCATGAGCTTTTGGTTTGGAAACGTTCTCAACTTCTCAAGCCGTAGTCGCTCAATGAAAACATCCAAATAAAATATGGTACAAATTAATGAAGCAGCGTGCAGCGTTAAGCTCTAGTTGGAACGTGGTTTCCAAGGAAGAAGTGGGGAAAGTGTTGATTTAAAATTCCTGCAAATTGATAAACCATTTGTTGCAAAGAACAAAACCAAGCCCTATTCCTGATAGCAACTTTATTTGTTAATTGCAACAAGACTTCAAGATTTAATAGTGCATTAATTTTACAAATTCTTCTTACGATCAATCCAGTTTTAACCGTAATAAATCTGCGATCTTGAATGGTTTTGATATCTTCGGATATCCTACAATTTGATGCGCACGAACACTAGACTTCTTTATCGAGTTAAAGGATTAACGCGCGCACATACCGAGTCACATACGGGACTTTCTCAACTTTAGGGAGCCTAGCTGGGAGAACCAGTAGTAGGGTCGCAAAGAGAATACTAGCTTCTTATTTTGTGAAGTTATTCGATAAGCCAACTGTGAAGTCTAGATAACGGCGCCGGTGGTGTAGTGGTAAGCGTGATTACCTCTCACCCCAGCAGGCCTGGGTTCAATACCAGTCGGCGCCGCCGGGATGTTCTGAGGCATAACATCTCTGATCACGCCTTCCTTCGGATGGGAAGTAAAGCCCCGGTCCCCGGTTCATGAGTTGATGGGTCGATAGGTGGTAGGGTCCAGGTGTGGGAGCTGCCTTCCTGGCACGTCGGTAGCATTGGTGCTCAGCACGGAAAACAAGATCGACGGAAAAAACAAACCAAAGGAAAAAAAAATATGGGTCGTGTAAAGTTGCATAATTGCATTCTTGCCCGAGCGATGGCTCGGTGCCTGGAGTGGATAATTTATTAGCATGGTTCATATTGATTGGGGTTTTGTTAGCTATGTGAGCTATGTTTTTAGTTATGAAGATATAAATTTTGGTTTGGAATTATAAATGCTTAATTATTTATAACTAATTCTAACCGAATTTTGCACTCCACAGCATATAGCTGGGAACATTCACCTACCTCATCTTGTTTACTATTTTTTGAATTTTACTTTTTTTTGTGTGAGGTTAGGCTCGGTGGAACTCTACTTAAAATTAATCACTTTTGTTTATGTTTTGACAAGTCTATTTTTGTGTACAATGCTAGTTTTTCCTGTATTAATCTGTTTGATTTCACAATTTGGTTCGGTAATTGATACAACAGTATAGGGTCCAATATAGAATGAGTCTAGTTTGCGTCTATTTTCATTTTTTATGTATACTGTGTCGTTAATAGATATTATAATAGGATTTGTAACTTCATCGTATTGCTTTTTTGTTTGAGATTTATGTTCTAATAGTTTTTGTTTTGCGATTTCGTGAGATAATTTAAGTTTGTATTGTAGTTCATTCTTGTAGATTTCGAAATTATATATTGGTTCTTTGTTGTTTTTGATGCTTCTTGTGGAAGATTGGCTTTTCTTCAGAAAATTAATTCAAACGGTGTATAATTATGATCGGTGTGTGGGGTTGTGTTGTAAGAAAATTCATAGTATTTTATCCAATCATCCTAATCTGATGGTGAATGATCGCAGGTATTTGTTAAGACACCTGTGATTTCTCTCCAATGATCCAATTGATTCGGGGTGATAAGGAGTTGAAAATGTTTTCTTGATTTCCCTCCCCTTGGCTAGTTTTTGCACCTTGCTGTTGGTGGGCGGGCTTATTTCATGCTTTATAGTGGAGTGCTGGAGACGGTAGGTTTATGGTCGGCGTTGCTGGCTCATGCCGCGATAGAATGGCACCATGGGCAGGCAATGGGGATTACTAAGCTTTCCCTCTCTGATAAATCACTGCATGAGAGAACCAAAGATCTAGTCTAGCAGTGATAGTATCACACTTGTTACTCCTTTGATTGAGAGCCACGTCGTAGTACGCTTACGTATAGGCACTGACGTTGGGTGTGATACTGAAGGGTTTTGCCGCAAATCACTCTTATTTTATTTATTTTTACGCAGATAGATTTATTTGGGTTTGCAAGGGAATTTTACTATTGAAATATTTCAGAAAGTGCCCATCGGTGCTCCTTCTATTTGCGTGACAAGCTTTCATTGTTGTTTTCATTGAGGTATTACTCAGGGAACAATGTTAAACACCATTTTGGTACATGGTATTGTAACTAATCTTATATGTGCGTCATTTTGATTTGGGATAAGTGTTTGAACTATGGCTCGAGATTTCCACTGTGGCGTGCTTCTATTGTGACATACCCATATGTATTTTTGTGGTGTGACATAGTGGAAACGTGAGAGCGTAATTGGAACATATACCCTATATAATTTAAAAATCAGCTAGGAAACTAATTTCAAAATGAAGCTTTTTAGTCGCATGAAGGTTTTACCTGGGTCGAACTACGATATAATAAATAGGTATAGGTCAAAATCAAAAGTACTTGAAACACGTTTAATTTTAGATTAGAAGCACAAATGCAGGTACTTAATAAAGCATGGGTTATGATTGATTAGGTGAATTAGAGCTTTTAATAATTTATTAAATAAGACTAATGAGATATCATCATCATTAAAAAAAACTTAAATAAGAAACTTAAAAAAATCTAATGACATTAAGTAGATTAACAAAAGAATTAAAATGCGGAGGGTCCGCTTAGGGAGGCAATTAACCTTTAAAGTTGTAGAATAAATCTTCTTATTTAGTCTTGAACTTTAAAAAGAAAACGCAGGCAGACCAATAGCATTAAGCAGATTAACAAGGAGAGGAATAGTTTAGGAAATAAGTAAAAGAAGAGGTAGGTGACAATAAATAGCTTTTAAACTTTTGGAGGTATTATATTCCCCTGAGTTTGTTGTACTCGATCACTATATTATTCTCTCAATACGCGTAATCTCTTATATATGCGGTTAAAGCATTTGAGTTGACTTATTTCTTAGTGTTCAAGTACTTACATTTTTAAACAGCAGTCAATGTTAATCTATGAACTAAACCATACGTAAAATCGATCTTTCCTTATGTGGTATTGATGCATGTTTAACTTTTCGCGGCTGTCGGAATCAACGCGCCTACGTCTACGGAGCTTACGCAGAAGTGATTCGCAATGCAGTAGAGCTCACCAAATGTTTTTTTTTTAGCTTCTGTAGTATAGAATTTGTTCGGTACGGTCGCGAAATCTTGAAATGATTGATACGTGCGGTAAAATAACTAAATTGAAACAAAGCTCAACAGTAAAATAAGTTGAATATTTAGGGAGGAAACCAAAATTAATCAACTTGCCAAGATAGGCTATCACGTTTATTTTGGTGGCACTCTTTAAGTGATAATAAGTTGTTTTTTTCTCTACGGTTGTTTCGCGTGGCGTTCACAATTTGCGCGATTTTCGTATCTTACGTAATTTAGATGTTTAGCTATAAACGGTTTCACTGACTCGAGGTCGTTTCTTAAGCGGTGTTGGTACAGGTTAAACCTTTGCCGACTGTCGGATCCAAAGCGCCCACGTCTACAGAGCTTACGCAGAAGTGATACGCAATTCGGTAGAGCTTGTCAAATGCTTTTGAGCTTATAGAATTTGTTCGGTGCGGTCGCGAAATCTTGAAATGATTGATACGTTCTTCAAATTAACTAATTTGATACAAAGCTCAGTAGTAAGTAAGTAGAATATCTAGGGAGGAAACCAAAATTAATCAACTTGCCAACATAGGCTATCACATTTATTTTGGTAACACTCTTGATAATAAGCCTTTTTTCTCGCTTCGGTTGTTTCGCACGGCTTTCGGAATTCGCGCGGTTTTCGTAATACCCTGGACAGACTATGGCTTATATCATGTAATATAGGCTGTCTTGCAATGAGCACTCATACATCTAGTTTTCACTGGAAATCCTATGTATGAGTGCTCATTGCAAGACAGTCTATATTACATGATATAAGCCATAGTCTGTCCAGGGTATAACTCACATAATTTAGATATTTCGTTCGAAACGGATTTACTTATTCAATCGGTTTACTACGCGGATGTATCTACGCGCACACGTCACAGCATTTTTTAACTATCTTGAAACAATACATACGGAATCCAGTGTTCAAGCGGCCAACATAGGCTAGTACTTCTGCTGTATTGTCAAAGATAGAAGCAAAATTCATTCAAATGGGTCAAGTCTTGAAAATTAAGCTGTCACGCAGCTCCAGCTTGATACCCGAAAAAAAAAATGTTTTCTTGATTTGAAATAGATTGCAAATTTGTTCAATAATCTCATTTTTGTATTCGGTTCCTTGATCAGATCGCATTTTGATTTTGCTCTAAAGTGCCTAGATCCTTCTCGGCTACAACCCTGTATTTTCAAGATTTAAAAAAATTTCAACTTTCAGAAGAGATTACTCCACAACCAAATTAGCTATTTTTGATCTTAGAACGACAATTTGAAGTTTTTTTTTAATGTTGATTCTTACAGTTGTACTCAGATTTTATTTTTGTAATAGTCATCACAGGAAACAGGCTGATTACCGGAAGGTATCCAAATTGTCAAAAAAGTGTCCTATTTTCACCATTGGCG